CAAGCATTGCGGGATATCATTCGGATGTTGGCTTGAAGACCGACGGATCAGCAGATACGGATCACTATGTTCATCCGACAAGCCTGTATGGTTGTGAGCATGGTGGTCGTCTACGGCAGCACTTTGTACGACGAGGCTCTCACGCGTGTCCGAAACGCGGTTTATGTGTCGCATGCCAGAGACGAAGTACGTAGCGTGTTTCGCTTTATTTCTTTCTTTGACAGGCAACGAGTGTCAGCTAATATCTCGTGTCTGCATTATCGAAACTGGCACCACGCTGCTCGAAGACAATACGAATGGGTCATGCTATCCCCGCAAGGTTGCTGTTCCCTCGCGCACGCTACTTCATGTGTTGACGAGCGCAGTTGCTGCTCGGCATCATTGCGCTCCCTCATACTGTCACTGACAACCTGGTCTTTGCGCCCATCTACGACATGTCGCCGCTTTCGGTGGGATGAGAGTTCCTTTCTATTCTGCTTGCAGTGCAGTAACAAGACATTTATATGAGTGCCTACTGCATGAAACGAGGAGTCCACACACTGGCTTCTTCGTCACGATTCAGAGGCATGCGGAAAACTACGTGCAATACGTGATCTTGAAAAATAGTTGTCTGGAGGACAAAATTGCTGGCACGAAAATGACGTGCAGGTTGTGACTGAACAGCTATGATACCAACAAACTTGCACTCGGCTGTATCATCGGGTATTGCAAGCAGATGAACAAGCATCATTCACAAGCCGGACGCCTCGTGAGGCGCTCATTCGTTTTGGCGCCTTCTTTTTGCAGCTACGCGCCTACAACACGCTTGCCTGCCAGAAAGAGTACCATGGAGCAAATGAGCCGTTGGCCTACTTGCAAGACAATGCATACCAGGCAGGCAAATAAAGCAACGAAAGATCGGGTGAGATGGTGGCTGATCCGAGTGTCAGCCTGCATCTGATAGACAAGCCGTCTGGATGCTTACTTGGCTATGCTTCATCATAGGGTATGTCCACAAGATGGCTGACATCGCACACTTACAACAAGTTGTTCGGTACACTTGTCATCGAGTAACGTGTCTTATCTGCTTCATGGTTCGATCGGGTACTTGCTGTTGTGGAAGTGTTTTATGGTGAGTCGACTTTTGGTACTGTATCAAGTCATGTATTCCAGAGCGGTGACACTAGCTTATCGTCGCCAAGGTTCTGTGGATCAGCACAACACCACGACGTGGGTAAAAGAGGGTTTATGGGTGGTTTGGTTGGTACAGGAGGAGTGTTGTACACCACTTTACTCTACTGTTGGATGTACTTTGAAGAACAGTCAAGCTCACAATCCATCTGTGCGTCGTAAGAGGGCCATGTATCGGAGGATACATGGAAGTCCACAGCACAATGTCGAATGGTACAAACCGACCTGTGAACACACATGGCTGGATCTGCTGGAGACGGTGTCCCAAAACAAAGAATGCGCTACTGGCCAATCAAGCAGAGCTAGTATCACTTCGGCAGCAATTGCGGTGCATTGACGTATGCTTGTTTGCAGCTTTCTGCGCATACCTCAATTAAAGAGAGTTGCGAAACCGGCGTCAATACCAAGCTGCACCGCATCAGAAAAAATGAACGTCAGCCATTTTACATGTTGTGCCGGATCTCTTCCATGGGCTTCACACTGGTTGGACGCGCTGCTACAAGTCCCTTAGCTTGCGAGGTAGCTAGATAGCTGGATACCTCCGCGGGTGAGTCGCCTTCGCCAGGTTGGACCTATCCTCAACAGAATTGACAAACGACGCCAGACGATATCGCCGTCACTGTTTGTCGGTACAGAGCACGATGTTCGTACTATTCTTGATCCAACGTGATCTGCTTTCAGATGTAGATGATGTAACATCGCATCTCAAACCGAACTCTCAGCCAGCGACAGTCGCACTCGTCTGTCCGGTCGTTTCGATGACTCATTCATTTGGTGTCAACAGGTGTGCGTTTCTTTCACTACCGAAACCGAGAGCGACAGAAGTTCATCTTCCGGAAAACGGTGAACCTGCTTTTGATTCGATACGATTGACTCGAGGCCCGGTCCGGCTTGCACGTCTGCTTGCTTTTTATCATTCTGCAACTTGCCAAGACTTCCCAGCATCCCTCACCACCTTCACTCTAAGATGAAACTCTCCATTTGCCTCCTACTCGCTGCGGTCACAGCTACGACGATCTGTGTACAAGCTACGGGTATCCGTCGGAACGAACTTCTTGATGGAGTTGACGTGCTTTCTAATATCCTCACGGATAAGGACAGTCGGGTGTATGTCGAAGATGATGGACACGACCACCACCACCACTTCGACCACTTCGACCACCACAACGACCACATCGACTACTAGGCCTTCGGCTCAGACCTATCTGCCAAGCTTTTCATGCGATCAAGGTCTCGGCGACCGCGATCACATTGAACGGAGTTGATGACGAGAGACAAGCTTGTCCTGAACCTGTCCCACGAATCGACTGTATCTGTTCAAACAGTTCAAGCCGTAGGCGTGGATTCGTAGACTAGTGAAGGGGTAACGCGACATCAATGTAGCCAACCTTCAACTCGTTCAAAATCAATTCTGACTTCTTTATCCATTGACTTCTGTTATCCCGTGTAGCAATCAGCTATCGCAAAAGACAGTACGCCCATGTGCTAGACCCGACACATGAGGCTCACCTTGAGCTTCTGTACCGTTGTATATCTATCTATCTATATCTGTCTGGGTAGTCTTTCCTTCGTGTGTTCGAGAAATTAATCAGAGTTCCGACGACAATATCGGTGAGCGAGCCAGCATCAGCATGAGTCCTGTACAGAATGTGATGCGCCAAGCATTGCGGGATATCATTCGGATGTTGGCTTGAAGACCGACGGATCAGCAGATACGATACGGATCATCACGACGTTCATCCGACAAGCCTGCACGGTTGTGAGCATGGTTGTCGACTACGGCAGCACGTTGTATGACGAGACTCTCACGCGTGTCCGAATCACGGTTTATGCGTCGCATGCCAGAGACGAAGTACGTAGCGTGTTGCGCTTTATTTCGTTCTTGACAGGCAACGAGTGTCAGCTAATATCTCGTGTCTGCGTCGTCGAAACTGGCACCATGTTGCTCGAAGAGGATACGAATGGGTCATGTTATCCCCACAACAAGGTTGGTGCTGTTCCCACGATGTTCGCGCACGCTACTTCATGCGTTGACGAGTGCAGTTACTGCTCAGCATCATTGCGCTCCCTCGTACTGTCACTAACAACCTGGTCTTTGCGCCCATCTACGACAATGTCGCCGCTTTCGGTGGGATGAGAGTTCCTTTCTATTCTGCTTGCAGTGCAGTAACAAGACATTTACATGAGTGCCTACTGCATGAAACGAGGAGTCCACACACTGGCTTCTTCGTCACGATTCAGTGGCATGCGGAAATTTACCTGCAATACACGAGATCTTGAAGAACAGTTGTCTGGAGGACGAAATCGCTGCACGAAAATGACGTGCAGGTTGTGACTGAACAGCTCAATACCAATAACCTTGCACTCAGCTGTATCATCGGGTATTGCAAGCAGATGAACAAGCATCATTCACAAGCCGGACGCCTCGTGAGGCGCTCATTCGTTTTGGCGCATTCTTTTTGCAGCCATGCGTCTACAACATGCTTGCCTGCCAGAAAGAGTACCAAGGAGCAAATGAGCCGTTGGCCATACTTGCAAGACAATGCATACCAGACGGACAAATGAAGCACCGAAAGATCTGGTGAGATGGTGGCTGATCCGAGTGTCAGCCTGCAACTGATAGACAAGCCGTCTGGATGCTTACTTGGCTATGCTTCATCATAGGGTCTGTCCACAAGATGGCTGACATCGCACACTTACGACAAGTTGTTCGGTACACTTGCCATCGAGTAACGTGTCGAATCTGCTTCATGGTTCGATCGGGTACTTGCTGTTGTGGAAGTGTTTTACGGTGAGTCGATTTTTGGTGCTGTATCAAGTCATGCATTCCAGAGCGGTGACACTATCTCATCATCGCCAAGGTTCTGTGGATTAGCACAATACCACGACGTGGGAGCAAGATGGTTTTTGGGTGGTTTGGTTGGTACAGGAGGAGTGTTGTAAACCACTTTCCTCTACGGTCGGAGGCGCTTCGAAGAACAGTCAAGCTCACAGTACATATGCTCGTCGTGAGAGGGCCAGGTATCGGAGGATACACGGAAGTCCACAGCACAATGTCGACCGATACAAACCGACCTGTGAACACACGATGCTGGCTCTGCTGGAGACGGTGTCCCAAAACAAAGAACGCGCTGCTGGCCAATCGTGCAGAGCTAGTATCACTTCGGCAGCGATTGCGGTGCATTGGTGTATGCTTGCTTACAGCTTTCACACTTCGTAGATCGCAATAAGCCATCAATGTGGTTGTTTCCTCTATGTAACGGGGCACCCTGAAGCTTGTACTGGTGACAGTACAAGCTACTTATTCTGATGACAGAATAAGGCGGTGCCTCGTAACTTCACGTACACTGGTACGTGCAGAGGAAGACGGTAAGAAGAAGCGAGTACTTGGTTAGAGTAAAAGTAGAACTGTATATATAATAGTTAATGTCTGCAATAAATCACTATTTATCTTCATCTAACTATGTCTAAATACAAATGTGTAAATCAGTTATCTGCTCACCACTCATTGCGTGCGTCTGTCGTGGCGCGTCTTCGTTGGTTGATATAATGGCCTATATCAACCAATTAGGAACTACTCGTAAGTGCTACAGAATATTTGTCCTTATGACAATATTCTGAGAATATAACTCTTATAATTGTATTCTATTAACAATTTCTTATAAATTGTTATGTAACGATTCACCCCGTTACATCACCCCCCCTTAACCATCAGTCACTTTAGTGACTGATTGACTAAATGGATACTCGTCCCAAATCATTTGGGACAAGGTTTGCACTTGTTGGTCCGCGTCCACTTTCCAACATCTCATCGCATGGTAAACAAGCCCATGCGATGCGCGAGCAAGGCTGCCGAGAGCGCGTCCGCACGTCTCTGTGCGGACGCCGAAGCAGAAACAACAGCAACTGATGTCTCATCGGTTGCTGAAGCGACCCAGCCTGTGTCACTTGGTGATGCAGGCGCTGGTCATGAAGACACTCGTGTCTTCACAGAATACGAGCTCGGTGTCTCGTACTCTCCTGATACGGATGACGGATCCGTATCGACGGCGATTGAATCTAAGCCGCCTGCCAAGCGTGGCATGGACGATGCTATGCGTCGCAGCATCTTTGGTTCATCTGATTCATCAGATGAACCATCGCCGAAGCGAAAGCGCTCGAGATCGCGAGACTCGGGCGCTAATAGTGGTGTCGGTTTACCTATGGACACCACTTCGCAACGAGGTGCCAGTACTTCTGTCGGCACGTCGCAGGAAGAGCGGGACCGCAATGTCTTGCGTCTCGCTCCAGAAAAGAAGGCATGGATGCCTCCTAAATCTGTCATGGTTCACTTGTCGGCGACGACGAGTGATCGTTATCGAACACGGTTGTTCGATTCGTCAAAGATCCATCACCTTGACCCCAGCGCGAAGAACTATCGCGCTGAGAATGAATTGTTCATCGATGCTTTCTTTAGACATCGATAGTACAGTGGGAATCACAAGCGTAATGGTCCCTCACTGCTTCAAGCGTGGAACGCCTACATCCACAACCTTGAGGATGTAGGTCGTGACGCTTGGAACGACAAACTTATCAAAGCTCGTGATAACTTTGAAAAGCGAACCCCGACAGGTGCACGCTACAAGCTGCATCGTCTGTCAAGGGAGAAAGGATTAACTTGCCTCTCTTGGGGAGACTCGTGCCCATGTTGTGTGAACAACTCTGCACGAGCACCTAAGGAGGCTTACCTTCCTAATAGCGCGTGGTGGCGCGCACGTATCTCTACTGAGATGTACGAAGGGATTGACAACCTGAAATCCCTTTACGACCGTGCCGGGAAGACTTTCTCCGGCGGTCCTTCTGCGGCACAGGATGTGCCGCGTCGTACTGCTCAACCAGACCCAGTACGTCGATCATCAGTTGGGAGCGGGGCTCCCAAGAATCCCAGGACGGGGGATAGCCGCGCCATCGGACGAGATAACTCGTCCGACGTCCGTTCACGTCGCGGTGGTTCAACAGCTGCTCAACTAGATAGCGCTGGCCACCGCGAGAGTCCTCTAATGGAGGTGGAGGAGGAGGAAAGACGCTCTCCACACTGTCGTGGGGAACCGTGTGTTCCCGAGAGCTTCTTTGATCGCGTAACGCAAGGGTTACGCGACGATCTCGAGCATGAGCGGAATAGGCGTCTCCAAATGGCGGACACTGTCTTGAAGCATCGAGCTGAGTTTGCCTTTGCTTAGCTTGAGAACGAGAGATCTCTGATATCTCTTCGTGACGAGCTAAGGGTAGCTCGTGGGATTGTTGATCGGTCTCGGGATGAGATAGCTGCTCTTCAGACCCTTGTCGATATCCACCATCGGGAGCACAAGGCTCTCTGCAAGATGCTTGAGCGCGAGGGCATTCTTCATCGGAAGAAGCAGCGTACTGATGGTACGGCTTAATCCGACCAACGTAAAACGTGGGATGCGTTCGCATCTTACGTGGTAACTCGATCGTGTATGCATTGCCTAGGCGGTGCAATACACGAAATGGGGCCGATGTACTTGGGTAGTAGTTTACTGCTACCCAAGTTAGTCACTACATGCTTTGGTAGATTAACCGTAGACAGTAGGACTAAGTCACCTTTATTAAATAAAAGAGTGCTTGCCCTTCCATTCTTGTCAGCGTTTTGCTTTTGCTTATCCACCGCTTCGGCGATGGAGTCTTGCACAAAACGGACTACCGTTTCACGAGCCAGTATGAACTCATCTCATGACTCGTTAGCTTCAGTGCGCTGTGAGTGCACTGCAGCGACATCAATCTGTTCTTCAGTGAGGGCTTCCGCACTCTCACTGGCATCATATTCTTCGATATCGATGTTATCGATATCGGCATCAAACTGCAATGACTTCTTCGTCAGAGCGTGATGAGCGTGAACCAAATCGGTTTTTGCTCGCGCGAGTCCCTCCCCCCCTTAAACCAGAGTTACACTCTAGTAAGGTGGGTACACGCGGCTGGCGTAAGCCATTCACGTAAAACGGTGTATGTGTCGTGGACGCATGCACCGAGTTGTTAATGGCAAACTCTACCGTTGGCAAGAACTCACTCCAACTCTTAAAGGAGTGTACGTATCCTCGAAATATCTCTTCGAGGACACGATTGGCACGTTCCGTCTGACCATCTGACTCTGGATGATCAGATGTCGACATCTTCAAGCGCGTTCCGAGTGATTTGAACACGGAACGCCAGAAATCAGCAGTGAATCGTGGATCTCTGTCTGATACGAGTTCACGGGGCAACCCATGAAGTCGGAAGATGGTGTCAATAAAGACACAAGCACAGCCACTTGCCGTGATTGTCTCTGGTACAGCCACAAGGTGTACCATTTTGCTGAATCTGTCAACAAATACGAGAATACCCTGTATTCCCGCGTGCGTCTTTGGGTAACCCGAAGACGAAATCCATTGAGATGGATTCCCAGCACTCTGACGGAAACGGTAGAGGCTGTAAAGGTGTACGCAGTGAAGGACTTGACTTCACTCGTTGACAGACTTCGCATGCGCGAACATACTTTCGCACAAACTGGTACTGGCGGGGCCAGTAAAAGTCTCGACTTACCGTGAGATATGTTTTCTCTCGGCCACATTGTCCTCCTATAGGAGCATCGTGATACTCGAACATGATCCGCAAACGCAGATCAGTATCATCTGGAATGACAACACGTGGTGTGTCACCAGAAACGGCTGTATAATACAGTAAAACGTTACGAGTAGTGTATCGATCTGATGCAGATCGATACGCAGACGACAATCGTTTTAACGATTCTCGAGATGGTTGGGAGAGATGTGTCAACAACTTCACTATCTCACCATCTTGGGCGTATGCCCGCCTCACATCATCATACAACGTTGTAGATGGGACTGAGGACGTCATAACCGCAACAGTGACTGTCTCACTGTTGGGTTTCGCGACTGTTTCAAAGTCGGGACGACGTGAGAGTGCATCAGCGACGACATGAAGTCGTCCTGGTTTGTACTCGACCGTAAAGTTGTATTCTGCAAAGAATGACAACCACCGCGCCATTCGTTGTGAAAGGTGCGGGCTGTTCACTGCTGTGCGTAATGACGCATGGTCAGTGTAAACAACGAAGGGTCTATCTCCTAATAGATAGACTCTGAACTTCGCGAGTGCATACTTCATGGCAAGGAGTTCCTTGTCATGCACTGGATAGTTCCGCTCAGCTGGTTGCAGCTGACGCGACTGATAGCAGACGACGCGTTCAACGCCTTCAAGATCGTACTGCATTAATACACAGCCGATTCCAAAATCGCTGGCATCACAGACCACACGAAATGGCCTGTCCTGATCGGCTGTTGCTAGGACTGGGGGTTGTATCAAGCTCTGCTTGATACCCTCAAAGGAGCGTTGACATTCAGCGTTCCATAACCACCTCTCGTTCTTTTTCAACAAACGAGAGAGGTGCACAGTCATCTCGGCGTAATTGCGTGAATACTTATGCAAATACGCCGCAAGCCCAAGGAATTTTCGAAGACCTTTGACATCAACCGGCACAGGCCAGTCGGTGATCGCCTTGATCTTTTCGGGATCAGGACGTACACCGTTCTTACCAACGATGCACCCAAGAAGTGGTATTTCGCTTGCTGCAAATATACACTTCTTGAGATTTGCATACAATTGATGCTTTCGCATGATTGTAAGAACCTGTCGGACGTGGTACCTGTGAACCTCAACGTCCGACTTTCCATCCATAGCCCGACTATGGATGAATACGTCATCGAAATAACTCGGCGCGAATTCTCGTACTGATCTCAACAGATGTGATACACATCTGTTGAACGTGGCAGGGGCAATACTAAGCCCTTGTGGCATTACTAGCCATTCCCAGAGCATACCGCTAGGCGCGCTAACTGCGGTATAGGGTATATCCCGTTCTCGCATAAGGATTTGATAGAAGCCATCCATCAAATCCATGGACGAAAAGATGGTACTCTTTGACATACCATCAATTATTACGTCCTTCCTCGGTATCGGCGTCTGAGCCGGTACCGTTGCAGCATTCAACTTGTTAAATGCATGCACTATCCGCCACCCTCCTGTTGCTATTCGCACACAGAAGTTCGGAGAGCTATGTGGGGAAGTTGATTCCCTCACATGGCCCAAAGCTAAACTATCGGCAAAGAACTTGTCGATCGCAAGTACTTGTTCACGAGGCAGTGGCCACTGCTTCATGACACAGTACTTCGAGCCTGGTTTAAGCTCGACCTCGTGTCGAATACCTTTACCCTTCGCTAATTCGCACGGAACAGTTTCAGGGAATACATCCTTGAATTCAACCAATTCTTCATAGAGAGGATTTGTCTTGAGCGATTCCCACGATTGGGAGTCATATCGCTCAATTCGTGTATTTTCATCCAGGACACTCTCGTCCATAGATGAACTACTGAGAGCTCTCTCGTTCTCAGTAAACACTGTTGCTGACCTTATGTCGGATACACACTCGTCGTCAGCGACGAGTACGCAGATCTGCTTGACTTTGCCACTACGCAGATCACGCAAGAACCTTTTATGTTCGAGCGTTGGCAACTGAGTGATCTCCGAAGTCAACTTCGGAGGCGCAATCAGATCAAGTGTATAAGCGCCTACACTTGATCCGTTATTGACTATGACATTCAATGTCTCTGTCATTTCCTAGGGACTTGTTCCCTCAGGCTTCGAAGGACTTACTCCTTCGGCTTCCCGGGGACTTATTCCCGCGGGTTCGGGAAACTTATTTCCGCCGTATCTGTAATATTGGGACTTATTCCCTTTACTTCCTCTAGCTGTGGTTGCGCAACCACAGCGAGATCCTCTACGAAAGACTCTCCAGTCGATCTAGGATTATCGTTTCGCTTAACCTGAGCGATCGATTGTTTCTCTTCTAGATGTTCCCCGCTAGGGATACATCTTTGTCCCAGTCCACCCGACTTATTCGAGTGGTGGACCTTCGGCGCAGCCTGTGTTTCCTCACAGCCGCCGGAACTTTGCTCCGAAGTGTAACCGTTTGGTACACTAAGGTTTTGTGCAGTCGTACTAACGACCGTACCACAAGTGAGGCCATCGCACTCACTCGTAGTACATTTACACGCTTGTGGACGCTCCAAAACGTTCATCAGATGGCCATCTGATGAACAAGCGGCAGGCATCGTTACTGTTCGATGTTGCCAGTTTACTCGTGGTTCGTACCTTCTGAGCCACGGTATTCCAAGGATGACATCAAATTTTTCATCCAAATCCAATACGATAAAGTCATCATCATATTGGGTATCTTGTAGCGTATAGTGGATCTTCACTATACGCTTCATGACGGTTACGGATGCGCCTGTCTCAAGACGTACCGTCATCCTCGTAGGAGGTGTGTCACATTCACTGAATTTAAAGTGACCATCTTCTAGCGATTGGCGTCGCACAAAATTGTTGGACGCCCCACAATCGACTAGAGCTCGAAGGG